TTAAAACCACTATAATGATTATACAGGCGATAATGGTTATATTCCTTAAAACCACTATAACCATTATAACCATTATAACCATTATATCCCTTATAACCATTATAACCACGGGTTCCCTATAACAGTGGAAGATCTACTTAGCCGCGAAATTATGCTGCGGCTAAGTTATATGAGCTCCGGAAAGGAAGCTCGGAACCCAATTTCTCACGTGACACTAGACTTGGCAACGAATTTGACAATCACGGGAATAAGACTATGTGTTGGTTTATTAGTAACGAGTTGTTAACACAAGGGAAATAAGAACTCAAGACGTCTACTCGAATTTCGAAGTATTGAAACTTAGGAATTTAGAATTTATTAGAGTTTTATTCGAGCTCTGAAAGTTATTCTTTATTGAGGTAATTTCGAGTCACTTATATACATAATTTTTACTAGTACTAAATAACGAAAACAGAACAAGTAGAAAAATGAAAAATCCGGGAATTTCGGGTTGGGATTTTTAGGATTTGGAAAATCCTAGAAATCACGGTCGGGATTTTTGGGATTTGAAATCCTTGGCTAGGATTTTTTGGAATTTGGAAAATCCTGGCGATCCCAGCTGGGAAATTAGATAGTAGTGACACACACCAATACGTACCATTCATATACGTGCTATTTTTAACCGTACCTTTCCGTAAAATGTACATGTACGTGCTACCAGAAACGTGTCATCCCGTACCACCCAGGATCACTTTTCCTACAGGGATATCAATGTTTAAATTTTATTTTTATTTTATTACTAAATTATTTTAAAATTCTTTTAGGTATATTATACGTAAAAGTTAGCATTTTATCAATTTCTATTAATGGCAGCTCATTTATTGGATAAGTCATAATTATAACGGTTACATAAATCGGCTTATTATGCAAATAAATGGGTTTGGGTCAAAATTCCGACAAACAGAATCCTGACAAACAAAATTCCCGACAAACAAAATTCCCGACAAGCAAAAATCCCGACAAAAATTGACTAACACTATGCTAACCCTAACTCTAATGCGGGTTAATCTGTCGGGATTTTGACCAATTCTCCAAATGAATATATGTACAATTATATTAGTAGTATTTATTATGTCTATTCGATCTACAATCACTACCATAGGAATGAAAGAATAATTACTACGTACCGCTTTTGTTGAGAATTTTGTTAGGAAATTATAGCATAATATTATTTAATAAATGTACAGTCAGCCATTATACATTATAAGTGTATATAATTAAGTCGGAATTTACAATGTATGATATTTTGGTATAAAAAAAACAGTTGTGGCCCAGAATTTTTAAAACCTATTACTGTATTAATATGTATGCGTTTGTCAATATTTATTTTTTTGGGGAATTGTGTTCAATCTCGAAAGAGTCGTATACATACATATAAGGAAATATTTCTTTTGTATAAAAATGTCAATAGAAATTATGGGGAAGATCAGCATTTTCTGGAATTTCTCGAATGTTTTTTAATTAATATCGAAAATAATAAAGGTTATACAAGCATATGTACAACTTTAATTAATCCAGTTTAATCCGTAAATTATTTCAAAAAAGATAAAAGAACTTGAAATATAACATGATACTTCAAAAATATTATTAAGATTATTTTTCAAAACGAATAACTACACACAGAATACACATACAGCATACTTGGGTGCTGTGTTGTACATTTCTATTGTCCTGAGTTTTGATTCCGACCTTTTTTTTTTTTAGACATTGTCCTGCTCCGTCCTAAAAGTGCCCCAACATATAAGTTATATATATAAAATTAAAATTTAAACATTATCTCAAAAATTTTAAGCCAACATTTTTTAAAGATCTCAATTTTTCTGTTCTTTCCCGTGTACAACACTCTTAGGAGGAATAATCAAATATTACTGCGCGAATTATGCAAAGTTCGAGTCTTAAGAAAAATCTTAAAAAGACTGCGGCTTGCACCAATTGCCAGGTAAAGAAGATTAGATGTAATTATAAAGATAAGGGTCCATGCGAAGAATGCATTAAAAATAAATGCGACTGCAAATTCGGTCAACAACAAAAAAGAGGTCCTAAGAAAGAAAATACACCATCTAAATTAGACTTTCAAAATTGGGGTGAAGTAGTATGGCAATCGCTTGGTAAAAATAAAGAGGCAGTACTCCAATTTATCCAATCAATGATAAATATAAATGCAAATTTAGTTTTGGATGATCCTTTAGCAATAAACAACGAACCAACAGTAGAACAAACAGTACCCTATTTTGATCAAAACATTCAGTCAACCAGAAATTTGGATAGAAATTCTTTAAACAATGAACAAGCGCTATACAATTCAAGCCAAGAAACTCTACCAAGCGGAAGGTTGGTTGATAAGTCTTTAGAGATCTATCATAAACAAATGTCTGAGTTAGTTCAAGCGGATATATTAAAAGGAAATTACTCTTTAGCAACAAATGAAGAGCATTTGTCATATCTATTCAAAAATGTTACTGGGAATTCTTTAACATACAATGAGCAAACTTTTACAGAAAATCGATCCTCTAGAAATATTAGTAGACAACAGCAACAGCAACACCGTTCATCAAGCCGTGAAAAACGGCAAAGGAGAAAAGAAGCCCGAAACAATGATTTATATAAAAATGTTTCTTATTCAAATGATTCACACTCGCGCAGTCCAAATAATATGAATTTAACATATTCTAATAGGAAGCAACAAAATTTGATCCCTCTACAGTTGCCAGGAGATTCAAGATCAATTTCTCCAATAAATACTCCAGCTATTACAATATCTCCTTATGAATCGTATTTTTCGGAGAATAATGCGTTTCCAGTTTCATTAGCAACATCTCCAAATGGATTATCAAGTCAATCATCACCTCTTATACCCTTTGAATGGGAAGATGTGAATCAATTATTATATCCTACCACAAATTTTCAAACATCGTTTAGTTTTGAAGAGGCGAATCAATTATCGCATCCTATCGATCCAACCATAAATACCCAAACACCATCGTCTGATTTGGATGAGATAACATTATTCGATTGGCCGACTGAACTTAATTTTACTAATAGTGATTCAAGTCAGCTTAGCCGGCTAAATTAGTCAATTCTTAAAAGATCGACTATACGTATATGAACATGTAATATGTATAAGGATATGGATTTTTTGGAAGGTAGACAATATAATCAATTAATTAATTGATTAACATTAACGACTTTATTTTTTATTAATATTATAAGACTATATGAAACTTACGTTAAAAATTTTAAGCAAACTTTTTGTTTTTCTAATATAAATGAATATTTTAGAACCATAGAATCGATAGAATATAACGTTTTATTTTCTTTTTCATCCAAATTCCCAAGGCATTTCTTATTTAATATAAAGATATTTGCGTTTTTTTTTTATAGAACATTTAACAAAATTTTCAAACATAAATCTTTTAAATATTTAGTTCGCTATCTGTAAATAGACTTTATATAATATAATTTTTTTTTTTCTTTTTTTTTTTTTTTTTACCTTGTATATAGAATTTATTTTCATTATATAATTATAATTATTTTTCGTTTATCTTCTAATTTTTTTTTCATTTTTATACCCGTAACATTTAGGCCATATAAAGTTAATTTTTTGTTTCTCATAAAATAAAATTTTAAATATGACCGGACCGGCCGGATAAAAATTTTTTTCTTATAGTTGAAAATTTCATATGAATAAAAAATTTTTTACTTATATCTAAAAAAGAAAATTTTAATTTAAATTTTTTAAAAAAGTCACCCGGTTGAAGAAACAAAAAATTTGGCCTTACAGCTGTTTTTATAAATTCTGGGACACCTAAAAATTTATTCGTTTCCCGAAATCTCTTCGGTTTCGTTCTGTGAATTATCTAACTCTT